GGCAGGGCTTCAAGAGTGTTAATTATGCACATTTTGGTTGTTAATATCTCGTTTTATAGACGGTCAAATTTTTTTATTTTTTTCATGTACATAAAAGACACTTTCATTAACCTCATATTTCAATTTTATTGAATTCTTAAGAAAGGTCGTTTTACGAGTGAACTACCTTAAGTCCAATTTTCCGCGCGAAATATTTTTAAATTTGAATACAAAATCCAGACATTACCGGAAGCACTTGAGAATTGCGATGGCAGACGAACGATTCCGAAGTGCCAGACCAGGAGAGATCGATATATGTCATGTCAGCATTCAGCCCTTGTTAAAAAAGCTACCTTGAAGTCGTTGTATTTGTTTGTTGTAGCTAGCAATAAAAGTAAAAATACAGTTGTTACAAGTGTTTCAATACGGACCTTCGAACTAAGTCAAAGAATCCCAACACAAAGTACAGTGCATGACTAGCAATGCACATATCCCAACTGTTGCAGAATTAATTAATTTCATTTTCTTTTTTTTTTAAATATTCGTGCTTTTGTCTCAAATCGCTTATTTCAAACTTCGACTACACCAGCGCTTCATAAAACGTAAAACCAGTGAAGCGACCTTGAATCAGAACAGTCAATTAATTGCTTTTATACACTTCGATGTGCCGTGTGTGTCGCCATACTTGCTGAAGCGAATAATATCGCTATTAATTAATCCTAACTGTGCTTATACCACTGCTACTAGAACTTTGGAACATCCTCCGGTTGAATATACAATATTAAGGTAAGCGAATTTGAGAAACGTTTCCTTGTTTTTTTTTACTGTTTCACAACCAGCCCCTTTGGGCAGTATTAACTCATTCATTCTAATACATTCATGACAGGAAGCACTTGTGGAATACTTTTTTTGGAAGGGCATTCAGCTGCTCTATCATAGCTCTTCCAATGTCAAGAATGGTGTCAAAACGTTCTCCTTTAAGCACGTTTTTAATTTGTGAGACCGGCCAGAAGTCGCATGGTCTTAAATCTGACAAGTAAGGCAGATAATGACAAACAGAAACACTTTTTCTGGTCAAAACTCGCCAATCAAAAGCAAAGCGTGCACGGTGCGTTGTTGTGATAAAGAAGGAAGCCACTTGCCCATTTTTCTGGACTTTTCGTACTTTGTAAAATATGCTCTTGTAAAATTCGGCGTTTACAGTTGTTCCGTTTGGAACGAACTCTGATCACACTGTCCTCACTAGTGAAAAAAACAATGATTTTTACTAACGTTCATTTTTTAGGACGGCGGATTCAGTGCGCCCCACAGGAGCTCCTATATTAATGTTTTTTTATTTTTTATTAAAAAATATGCATTGTTTTTTCTGCATCGTTATATAAATGTAATATAGTAATACCTACCACCAAACTTACAGGTAAATACGCCTTAAAATATTTAAGAATAACTAGATAGTGTGCTCATTATGAAGCGTTATAGCACTAAAAATTGGTTGCGATGATGTTTTAAAGACTTTAAAACATATTGATATGGATATTTCTGGAGGATGCCATCATAAAGGTAAAATTGGAGATGCAATATCGGGGTGAGACATAGAAAATGTTATTAATGTAAGAGTATTTGGGAAGGATGGATGGATGGATGGAGAAAAATGAATTATCAGCGTGAATAAAAATGTCAGAGTGGGGATATTTTGAATGTTGAATTATAGCTAAGATATACAGATGGAATATAGAAATTTAAAAATTGTACTATTGGATATAAATAAAGAACATTATAATACAAAAGGAAAAAGGCAAATTTTATTTAAACTAACAAAGACGGCAGAGACAGGCAAAGACGGTAAAAACAGACAAAGGCGAATAAGGAGATTTTATTTATTGGAAAGGAGGTTTCTATATGAAGTGGCGCCTAATGTGGAGCATTAATATTAAAGCAAACACTTGAAATTACTGAGGCCCTTCTTATGGGGCCTCAGTATTGCATTTGTGCAGACGAAAAATTTTTTTAACCTCGTTTTTTTAAACTTTTTTAACATTTCCGATCATTCCGAGTCCGAAAATGCAAAAAAAAATCATCTGGTCGTCTGTGCGTATGTATAACGGCACGATAACTCTAGAACGAAAGTTCTGATTGATTTATATTTTGATTTTCTTGAATAATTGCTTCTAACTTCCTAACTAATTTAATATCAATGTTCTTAAAATCCGCCGATGCATTTCTTATGTGACTTATTTTACGCATTCCAATCATTCCTAACGTCTAACATTCCTAACATTGAATACATCGCAAACATTCCAATAAACCTTTCAAACAACAGCCGTTGATTGTAAATGTGAGATTTCTAAGGGGGGTTACGACCTTCATAGTTGCAACCATAGCCATTTTGGAGGCTATTATACGCATTTGTTTCAAGGTTAAGCGAGTGACGGTTTTACTGCGATTATCATATTTTATGAACCTTTTGAGATATCTTTGCTAAATGAATTTGAAAACGTGTTGTTCAAAAATGATACAAATAAAAATGAAAATATACATTCGAAGTAACCTCAAAACTATAGATGACATTAACAAACAAATACTCACTGGAATTCTAGGACTTCTAAACCAAGACTAAAAGATCCATTTATTAAGGATATAACTTTAAATATACCTAATGTTTATTATTATCGTCTTGTTTTTGGTACAATTAATTATTTCTCCATTTGAATTTTTGTAATTTGGTATTATTTCAGAAAGGATTGCAATCTCTAATTATGATACATACTAAACATAATCATACTCTTGAAACAGCTAATCACAGTTTAATTTTTCTTTACAGCAGTCTCCCCATTGGGAAATTATAGAAACCGCTTTCGACTTTATCTCAAATATCCGTCTCTGTCTAAACTCTAAAGCGAGCGACCTTGAAAGTCTGCCACTCAATTTATGATCGAAGCAACGCTGACGTGTGAAGACCGTCGGACCGCGTCTCGAATATACAAGAAACGACGGAATCTTCTAGGTATGCCGCTGACGCTTTGAGAAACTGCCGTTAAGTCATAGAGATGGAATTTTCGGGAGCATCTAGAAACTACGAGCACAGAACTCATCGGCGCACAGTTGAGTTTAGTAAAAAGTGTTAGACAGAAAGGTTAAACTGTAGTAAATAAATTAGAATTGTTAGTTAGTGTCTAAGTATTATATAAATTAATTGGTACGTCTGAAATACATTGTAAATAGTTTTAAATAAATAAATTATAAATAAATTAGATTATCGTCACAATCATTTTAAATATTTTCTGTAAATAATAATCACTAAGGTCCTATCTATGGGACTTCAGTTAGCTATCCGCTCCCAACGGGGAGAATGACATACAGATTCTTTACCTTTATTGTCAATGTATTAGTAGTACGATTTGTCAAAGAACGATAAAACAGTTGGGAGCTTCCCCAAAAACGGTGTGCGATGGGAGAAATGGAGGTGATTGCACATAAGAATCAGCAGAAATGGTATCGGGGCCGATTTTCATGTAGATCAGTGTTATATAGGGTTGCCACCTGTCCTTTTTTCAAACAAATTATCCTTGTGACTTTTTAAACCTGTCCTTTTAGAAGCTCGTCATCAGAAAAAGGACTTGAGATCTTTATTTTTTTTAGAAGCTCGGCAGAAGGACCGGGTGTATTCTTTTAGAAATTTTCCTTTTGTAAATCTGGCAATCCTACCTTTATTCACTTCTCGAGATTTGCAAAGTACGGTTTACGCACGTGCCTAGCATTTCTTTCGGCATCCACGCTGAGATAAAACCAACTGGTGTTGATTTAACCGGCCGACAAATAATCTACTACGGGTAGATTTCCGTAATTATCTTGTCTTTTATATGTGCTTATTGTGTGTTAATTTTGGGATAATTGTCAGGTAATGTTTCTTTCAACTTATATTTTAACACTTTGCTGGATTTAGTTGGAAAGCCGATAGATCGGCCAATTGCTTTTTTTTATTACCATCATGCTGATGAGTGCCGGTTATTATTATTGTTTTATTTTATTTTATAAAGATTATAGCTTTCTTTGATATATATGCGGGAAGGCAACTAAATAAATGAATTACAAGTCAGTCTGGAAACGGAAATCTATGGCTCTTAACTTATTTTGGCCTTATAAACAGTTTATATTTTGTTCAGATGATGTAAAACTTATTGTTATAACTTATTTTGCCCTTATAAATATTTTATCTTCTGTTCAGCCGATGTAACTTTAATATTTGTCCCGTTTATGCATAAGTCCGTTAGATTTCCAAACTGGCATGTAGATGTACTATTCCTGTTACTGAGGTTCTTTTTATTTCTAAATCTGTAGTGGCTACAAGTCCGAGTTACGTAGTTTCTTCAAGAAGCTCCGAGTTACGTAGTTTCTCAAATTCTAAGCTCCAAGTAGAGTAGTTTCTCCAAGTTCCGAGTTCCAAGTGCGAGCTCCAAGCTCTAAGCTCCGAGGTACGTAGCTTCCAAGCTCTAGGTTATGTAGCTTTTCCAAACAAGCTCCAAGTTTCGAAGTAGTTTCGAAATAGCTCCAAGTAGCTCCGAAGCAGCTCCATGTAGAGCCAAGTCTCGACATACGACATTTTATCGTAAAGTAGACTTTGGCCCGCGAACAGGTCAAGCTACTCTGACCTTATTTGTCCTGGTCAATTTATGAATCCACACAGTACCAGCAATTTGAGCTAAATCAATTCTTAAGTACAAATTACATCGTAGAAATCAAAAAGAAGGTAACAGGTGGCAACCCTAGTGTTATAGTAACATACAAACGATATTATTTGTTAGATTAGACCTGCATGGTACTTTTCAAGTTTTTTTTGAAACACCTTATTTATTTAATTTGAATAGAAAATGGGAAATAACGTATCAAATTGAAAAATAAACAACTATCTAATAAACCAGGATAATAATATCTACTATTACTAATTGTTTACAAACAAAATATTTAACTTAAAGATAACAAAATATTTACAATGAAATTACTAGATTTTTAAGGAAACTTACCAACAACACGTTTCCCCTTTCTTTCTGTTGATTTAGTTGATCCGCTTTCAATAGAGTCGGCAATTCGTTTCTGAGCAACAGAGTTTTGACTTGAGTCGTCGTCAAATCTGTTATTCGGTAGTTCAAATCACCCAACCAATAAACTTGCCTAAGACAACAGGAAAAATAAATCAAAATAAGGAAAAATACTTTCCTAAGAAAATAACGGAAAAATAAATCAAAATAAGGAAAAATTTACAAGAGAATCCAGTTTGAAGTCAACAATTTATATGCCCGATAAAGCAATTAAAAAAAAAAAATGTAAACCAATAGAACATAAATAATTAATTGTACTATTTTTTTTATCATACTTCTTACATTTGCCTTTAAGTTTTTGTTGACATAGTTGCCAAATGTATATTTTTTCCTTAAACAGCCGGAAAAAATGTTGCCTTTTTTAAAACCAAATTAAATAGAACACTCTATATCTTTTTATAGCATCTGAAAGTCCCATTCATCCCCTTTTCAAAAATGTATACATTCTGATTATTTATTAAAGGTTTGGGGAGATATTTTTTTATGAATCTACATCAAAAACATGTAATTGTAAGATTGTTTGAATTTTCTATTAATGTTTATTCATTTTTTATAAATTTTTATGGGTGTATGTTCTGGTTTACTTCATAAAGAAATTATCTAATTCTCTTATAATCAACTTTGTCCTTTTTCCAAAGCCGCCTAATATATTAAACATCGTTTAGAAAAAAATTAAACCGACGTTAAGAAACGTTAAATAATAATTTATGTGAAGTAGATCAGAAACGAACACACTTAAATATACTAATAGACAATGTAAGAAAGGTAATTTTTTTCTGCAATTTCGGGGAAAATATACATTCGGCAACTATTTCAACAAAAACTTGAAGCAAATGTAAGAAGTTTAGCGAAAACTACAAGTCGACATCTTTTTCAAATCTTGAGTTTTAAGCTGTTAAAATGTCTAATTTTATAGTGGGATTACCGCTTTTAAACTTTTAGAGGAAAACAAAAAAATAAAAAATAATATCAATATAATTGATCTTACTCATGATCTTTAATTGCTTGTGGACTTCTCCTAAAATTCATCCTGGCGTTTATGTCTTTGTAATCCTGGTTTCGCCTTTCGAATTCTTCTACGTGAGCCGCTAAATGACAGTTTACGAAACATAAGGAAGTGTTGTGTAGGTCCAGTCTTACTCCTACACCACCTTTATTGCCCTAAAATTTTTTATTTGTTTTAATTTTTGTATGTGTACCATTAAATTGAAGAAAACACCTAAGTCTACATTTTGAATCGACGTTAAAATTTATAAATTACCTGGATTTTAGTTGAGATAAAAGCAAATATGAAAATTAAAATATTAAGAACTGATAATGATCTAGAATTCGTAAACCAAGAAGTAAGAAAAATATTAGAAACTAAAGTATATGTCACCAGAGGTCAGTAGTTTACACCCCTCAACAAAAAGGTAGAGCGGAACGAGAAATAAGAACCCTAGTAGAATCAGAGAGAACTATGATACAGGGTGTGGACAAAAAGTTTTAGGCAGAAGCCATAAATTATGCTGTATATACTACATTAAATAAAAAGTTACCAGCTCAGTAAAAGATAAGTCACCTTACGAACTATGGCATAAAAAGGTAGTAATTTTAATATTTTCAAAGTCTTTGGACAAAAAATGTCTGTACGTGTACCCAAAGAAACTAGATTAAAATAGGATGCCAAAAATAAAGAATGTATCTTTCTGGAGTACGGAGAGAATGTTAAAGGATACAGAACATGTTTTCCTAAAACAACTAAAGTTGAATGCCATAGAATTGTAATATTTTTACCAGAGCGAAATGAAGAGAAAATTGAAATAGATAGAAAATTTAATACTGAAGTGGTACAAGAAATAAATGGAAGTGAAATGGTACACGAAAATGAAAATCAAAGTATTGATGAAAATTACTCCGATACAGAAGCTGAAAGCAACCCAGAAACAATTGATAAGCCAGAAGAAGAAAGTAGGTACAGTATAACTTCGATAGTTCGGACAGTCGCTAGACCACACACTCCAGTAATCCGGGCACTGCTGTGATTCGGGCATTTTGACAATTTTGCCTCTGAAACAGCGAAAACATCACAAAATGGGCTGTGAGAGAAGACGAGTTTGTTGTTGATTTAACTGAAGAACAGCTTATCCAGGATACAGTAGGGAGCACTATTGAAAATACAAATGAATCTTCTGAATCAGAAGGTGATGTAAATATGGAGAAGGTGAAACATGCAGATGCTGTCAAAGCGTTTTCACTAGCTCTCAGGTGGACTGAGGAGAATAATCTTCCCTTTGTAGATGTATTGCTTTTGAGAAGGCTCAAAAACAAAGCAACTAATGTAGATGCATCGAAAAAGGTCCAAACTACAATTAATAAGTTTTCAAAAAATTAGAAGATTTGCAAATTGCATATTTTACTTAGGAATTGTGTACACTTTTGTTTTAGGTATTTTTTGAGAAGTGTAATTTTTTTTGGTTGTGATTAATAAACCTTATTTTTGATCATTTTTAAGTTGTTTTATTTCATAAATTCAAATTACTCCAGTAATCCGGACGCCTCAATAGTCCGGGTATGCCCCGGAACGATATCTGCCCGGACTACTGAAGTTATACTGTATAAGGTCTCTTCCAACAACGATCCTAAACCAGTCATTGACACCAGGATTCTGCGCAGTAGATTATTTAGACAGGCAAATTCATACTGCGCATAATCCTGGTATCAATGACTGGTTTCTGATCGTTGTTGGAACAGAGAATGTGCGAGTAAACCAAGTAAGTGTGAAGTGATAGAAAGCAAGTGTATTTACAAGAAAAAGAAAAATGAATGTAGTGAAGTAGTTACACATAAGGCTCACCTAATGGCTAGGGGTTTCTAACAAAAAGATAGTTTTTAATGATATCTATAGCCCAGTGGTTAAATTGCTCTCAGTAAAGATTTTCTTAGCAGTAAATAATCATTTATATATTTTAATTCACCAATTAGATGTATACATCTCATTATCTAAAGGTTTTAAAAAAACTAAAGGAAACTGTATGTAAACTGAGAAAATCATTATGGAACGATTTTAATAATGTTATGTTATCGTTTGCTTTTTGTAGATCAGAATGTGTTTATTCTTTATATAATAAAATTACACACAATTGTAAAATGTACTTATTGATGTAGGTTGATGATTTGTTGTATAGCAGGCACTAACTCTGTAGAAATAACTAAAGTTAAATAGTTGTTAAATAAAGAATTTAATATAAAAGACTTAGGGCCTGGTAAACATTTTTTGGGAATGGTGATATCTCAAGACATATCCAAAAATAAAATAACTATTAATCAAACAGCATACTTGAAAAATATTTTTCCGTCAACTGACCATTTATGATGCATTTTAACGCATTGAAAATCGTTGGTTAATGATCCCTATTAATAAATGATTTTTTATTATATGCAACCCAACGTACATTGCTCTTATTATACATTTATATTGATAGCTACCTATGGTGTAGGCAACCAAACATACATGTACATTTGAAATTAAGAAGGTGTGTTAATACTATCTATCATTGTATGTCATTCTTTAATTTCTAAAAATTCAAAAACTATGTATAGTAAAAGATGGATATTGACGAAGAGTTTAATTTAACTCCAATTTTTGAAAAGTACGATCGACGGAAAAGTTCTGTAACGAACTAGTGAATTAAAATGGCGATTAATAAAGTTTAATAAAGAAAATTGTAAAGCCATAGCATAGCAAAAAGAGATAAGTTTGAAAGTTCTGACATTGAATATGAGTGCTGAATGCTCATTGGTTCATTGATGTTTGCCATGTTGTGTTCAAGGCCTGACTTAACGCACAACTATAAATATTTTGAGCCGATATCAGTCATGTGCCAGCTCAGACTTGTGGAAATGTCTTAAGAGCGTACTTAGATATATGCAAGGCACTATCCATCTCAGTTTAACATTTAAACATTTTGATTATGTGAATTGTATCACAGGGCATATTCGGATAGTGACAACACTGATCGTAAATCTACTGCAGGTTACGCATTTAAATTATTTGACTATACAATTGTTTGTTCTTCTCGCAAACAATCGGTAGTTGCCTTTTCCTCAACGGAAGCCGAATATGTAGCACTCAGCTTAGCTGCTTCTGAAGCATGTTGGATAAGATATTTGAGCCGTTTGTTTTGAAAAGTGGCCTAAGTCCATTTATATTTAAATTAAGATATCTAAGGGTTTGTGTAAATTTTGTTTAACTGCATTAATTAAACGTACTGATTATTCAACTAATGCAACTAATGTAACAACTGAGGTTAACTTAACAAAAGTGTTACTTTTTTCATGTTTGTTAAGGCCTACTACTAGAAAAACGAATAATTCCATGAAGTTACATTTGACAAGTAACTATAAGTGGACAAAGGTTTATTTCTATGCCTCTCAATATTATTTATCAGATTATAGTAACAATTATGGAAGAATTTTGTAGGGAATTCTATTTTCGGATCATTAGGATGACTTTGGATTTTTAATATGTTGTGATAGTTTTGACAGTACCAGTTTGAGGAAACTCAAAATGTTTTTAAGATCTACACATAAACCTATGGACTTGTTGGTAGAGACTAAATTAAACTTTACTTGAATGATATTGTTCTTAACATTTTACAAAAAAAAAACAATTCTGTGATAATTTCTCCCACATTCAGCAAAATCAACACTTTATTAACTAAATTAGTTATTAGAAATGTAACTTACCATTTTTCCTAATAACCCTGTTCCAACTGTATCTACTGATATATTTCTAACGTAGTGGTAATGCTGGCTATTTACCATTACGACCAGTTGCATGCCTACTAACCTCGCTAATCCTACTAATTTATATTTGGCTTTTGGATGGACCCCTTCGGTAACATATTTACTAAAAAAATATAAAAAATGGCGTCGTTAATGTAGGCAGAACCTTTGATGTCTTGAATTTTTGTTGTACGATAGATATAGGATTAGGACAAGCACTTAGAAAATCCAGCTGACAAATAGCATTGCAGTTTTGCTGCAGCCGTGTTGAATTTTTGGTAAGATATACTTGTTTATATACAGTGTGGAAACCACTTATGGAATCGAGAATATAAATATACAGGGCGATTCATGTAAGTCTAGGACTGTCAGTATTCTTTTTTGTTGATATTTTGTTCTACATCAAGTACACGTCAAATTGCCTGTCAAAGAAACATCAGTCATGCAACTGTATTAAGGTGTCTCCATACAGAAAACTTCATGCATATAAAATAACTTTTACTCAAGAGCTAACAAAAAATTATCCTGATTGTAGAATGGAGTTCTGCAAAATGTTGATGAATAAGCTAGACAGATGAATCAACTTGTACATTAAACGAGGAGGTAAACCGGCAAATCTGTAGATATTGGTCAGCGGAGAATCCTCATTAGATGTGTGAGACACATACTCAATATCAACAAAAAGTTAATGTTTGGGCTGGTATCATAGGTGACCATATTATTGGTCTGATTTTTATGGAAGGAAATCTGACAGCCGAAATATATTTAAATATGATTAAAGACAACGTTGTTCCTGTTTTGGTTAACTTATATCCAAATGCAAGAGATTAGAGATTGCCGAATGAAAATGTTTGGTTTCAACAGGACGTGGCAACACCCCATTATGCTGCACATGCAAGAGCTTACCTAAACGAAATATTTCCCAATAAATGCTAGCAGCAATATGCACCCTTAAAACAGACATCCCAAAATACACCTATATGCAAAAAAATTGAGAAAATTCTATTCAAAAGAATTGGAATAAGATGCCTTATGCACTAAAGACTTTAAAAATCAGAACACATTCCTGTGTGATAAAACATATTACAACTTAGACGAATTCTTCTGTGGTGCAGTAATTATATAAAATATTGATCATTAAAAACAAAAATAATTATTAAAAAATGAGTTTAAAGTGTATTTATGTATAAAATGCATATGTTCTAGATCTCTAAAGGTAGTATAATAGTAAATAAAGATTTCTTCCAGAAATAACTTCCAATATTTTATTAAATTCTGCCTTCAGCTTTGTCTCTTTTTGACTTTAAATTAAAAGATCTTTTAATAAATTCCCAACTAAAGTCAGATTTGGACTGGAGTGGCTTACTTAAAACCAAAGTAAACATAATATACAGTTTATGCAGATAAGAGCACATATAAAATTTGAGTCCAGTAAACTGTTTAACAATATGCTTGTTTTTGGACTGGAAATATTCTCTCTTCATCGACTATACTCCAAAGAAGATAATTTTTACCCCCCTTAGATCCGTCACTGTTTATTAGGGGAAAATATTTCTAGAATTATAGTAATACTGGTTGCCTAAATCACAATATATTTTTTTGTTTTATCTAGTTTGGTATCAGTGATTTAAACTTTTAGATTATTTTGAAAAATCATAACGTTCCAGACTCCCATCTGCTTGTTTTCCGAATATAAATTATTTATTTACAACATTATTTATAACAGAAATATTTAAATTAAGTTTGAGTCACTTATGTTTAGTTATGAACACTATTATTGCTGGTTCAAGAAACATTTATTTAGAATATCGTTTTTTTATTAATAAAACCAATAATACATATCAATATATTAAAATTTACACAAAAACACTTTTATTATTTAAAAAAAAATGCAAAAATAAAGACACTTACTGCCACTCAGCTTCTCTGGGTGTGTCATTGAACAAAAATGCTTCTTTACTTAAATCAATTTCTTGAAACCCCACCGCATACAAATCAGGGGGGTTCTCATCAAAACTTAACCAATCTCTGAGAGATATGGTCGGAGGTTGGCCATTTACATTCCAGGTACCAACAAATATTCTAAAAAATAAACAGTTTTACATTCACAACTTAAGATTCTGCTGAAATAATTTTACAGTCTATTTTATATTGGCCTTATTATCCTACTAAATAAAAACCAGTGGTGTGCAATATGAATTTGGACCCCCCTTAAGTTTTATGCCACTGTTGTCTATAATTTTAAAATGTTTAATGTACCTATACATAAATATTGTACTGTTTTTAGTATTTTGAATCATTGTGAACATATTTCCAATTGCTCTGTTGGGGATTTACATTTTGCTCCACCAATAGATGGTTTTACAGTAAATGGTCTTTATTAATGTTTAAATACAAGTGACTCAAATTACTGCAAATCCATCTATTGCTGGTATGCTGGTAGCAAAAATATAAACTTCCAACAAGCTCAAATTCTGTTCCTTCTGTGATGAATATTTAATTTTATTTAAATACTATTTAACAGCTTAATTGATTTAGAAATTGTTCTTAAACTCATAAGAAACATCATAAAATTTTTGGAATAAGACCATAGAAACAAGGTAAACTAAATACAGGGTGTTAAATATGCAATTTAAAAATAGCATTAATGGTAACAAGTGCTCCATAACCTATTATATATACATCATTTCTATTTAAAATAAAAAAATAATTTAATCCAAAATACTTACGTAAACTCCTGTTTCTGAGTATACTCAGCTTCTTTCAATTTTAAATGATATTTTAACATTGATTCTCTATTAATAGAAGTCTGACCTTGAGCAATTTGGTGCCTTGTTATAGGTATATCATCCTAAAAAAGTATACCACATTTGTAATGTAATCAAATCCATATTTATTATTGTACACACTTAACAATCATATTTTTGGAAGGTTTTGTCTTTAGTTCAATGATTAAGGTACCGTTTGTGAGAAACTTATTCAATTACTGTGTAAATACCTGTTCTATATCTGAACTACGACTAGGGATGCTCATTGTACCTATATATTTGTCTAACCACACAAAGTTTGGTTTATTGTACAGAGACACTGAAAAACGACATATTGAAGAAATTTCATGCATGTGCGAATTATATCAAACTTACATTCTTTGGAACGTATAACTTCTGATGCAAAATTCGAACTCTCCAATCCTATTTCAATTTTGAAAGCTCGCTTGATTTTCTTATAAGTAATGATAAATATTATATTGGTTTGAGTGTCTTCTAGGGGTTCAGTATCTAAAAAAATAATTAATACAATTTATAGGGATAAAAGTGTTATCATTTTATTACCACAAGAGAAGAATTCATCAACTGGAGTTACAGTTTCTATAGAGAGATCGGAAATGCAGCTGGGTTTTATCTTAGAAGAGATTAAAACGAATAAAGCAAACGATTTATTGTACTCAACCAAAGCTAAAATACGGTTATCGTTAGACCAAATTTCTTCTAACGTAAAAACATTCAGATGAATCTAATCTTTCATAAGGAAAATATTTAAGATGTCTTTTTAAACGTCAGTGGGTATGCGGTCTGATAAAAAGGATACACTCCTAACTATTTCAGCAGACAAGAATTTTGCCTGTACAATATTAACCACATCTCTGTGTACAGCCAACATAATCCAATAAAATCAATTCATTTTAAACAAATGTTTATTTTAAAATTTAAAAATAAAGGGCGAATCTCTTCAAACGTCAAAAACATAACCTAAAATTGTCATCGATTTTGACGATGTTGCCAACATCCATTATCACCCGTCAAAATATTTTTAAATTTGATTTTCTTGAAATAGAATTTTTAGTCTGGTTCATCAGAAATATGTTTAAAACTGTCCTATATGCGTACTATATGATCAGTGGAAAGTTAAAAAGTTTTATGCTACGAATAAATTGATATTTAATTGTTCCACTGTATATGGGACGGTTTGCAGTACATTTTGAAAAAACCAGGACAAGCCTAATATTCATAAAAAACTAAAATAGAACTGCTATAGTTTATTAAATTTAGAGAATAAATAAAAATTGAAATTAAACTATTTAAATATTCGCGAAATGAATTCAGTCTTCGGCCTGAATAATTACGTAGGCTGACAGTGTGCCCAACATAACTGTACAGAATTCTACTATGACCTCGTAAGTGACAGTTCCTGACTACACTAGCGACTATTAGAGGGCACTACACGTATTATTTCCGAGTTTATTTAGAATTTTAACATTCTTCTTTAGTTTTTTTGAATATTTTGAAAAAATGAATGATTGGTTGCATTGTAATAAGTGTTTCGTAAGGTTCCAACCTGATAAACCAGACATAAAGTTCTACTTGGTCGAATGCGCTCATGTATTTTGTGAAAATTGCGTAAAACAAGTTCGTAAGTATTTGTGAAGGGAGCAATGGTAATGTATTGTACTTTTTAAATGTGCTTGTAGATACTACAAAATGTTTGATTTGCGGAAAATCCGATATGTTCATACCAATCAACAAAGACATGAATACGTCTGCTCAACCATTTTTTCTACCAATCGAAACCCATTTGAAAAAAGTAATAGAGGTATTTAACGCTTTAATAAAACCATTGAATGAATTTTAAGTTCCAAGCAAATTTTAGGTGTACAATTTTCAAACTATGCATAGACAAAGACTGTGCCACAGTCAGACTCAAAAATACCAATATCTTAAGAGAGCAGCGTTTAATTATGAGCAAAAAATGAAGGCTCTTATTAGCGATAATAAGATGATGAGGAGTATTTTACTGGTAAGTCTTTTACTGAACAAGTTTAGACTAGTGATTTTATAGCCTGGGAAAAAGGAGATATTTTTGGGCACTTATTTTCGCAGGGTCGCATTTATCTTTTTGGAGCCCTGATACTAAGCTTACTTTGTTTATATAAATTGTTATGGCCTGTATACAGATATATTCCAATAAAAATACGTCAACTTTTTTGACAGTTAACCAGTGGCTGACTTTTGAATTTTTATTAATTAAATACTGAACTATAATTTTATTTAGTTTCTCTGTTTATCCATCAAAATTATCCTAAAGTCTAACAAAATTACTAGGTGTGACTGAGTAGGTATTTTAAATACCTTCTAAACGAGGGGTTACTGCCTATAAGGTCCCGTTTAAAGTTAAGTTTACAATCGTTTATTTTCACCCTTCAAATTTCATTAGTATGAAGATTCAAAACCAAAACATACGAGGGCGGGATGATTTTAAGCTACAGGGTAATTTAGGTTTGTTTATTTATAATCGAATTAGGGTGAACCGTCCGGTTATTGACCACGTCCCAGTAAATGACCAATATTTACTGATTTATGATTTATTAAGAATTTTTAATAACCTAAGGCATCATATTATATAGCAAATTGATCCTCACCTAATTCTCATATTTTTTTATACATTTGACAACACTGCTCATGATCGGCAGTTTACAAATGTCAGTTAAAAGTGCATGTGTTTCTGTTTCCTTCTGAAGTAACCACAATTAAGGTAAGTAGAGCTAAGGGTTTTTTATTTTCTAAAAAATATGTGTTGGAGTTGTAAAACTGTTATGTTATTTGGACTAAACTGCATGAAACAAGATCAAATTTAGCATTTTTTAGGCTGTAATACTAATATAACCTCAAAAAGGTCAATAATAGGTAATGTTAAAGCTGATAATTCAGTGAATGACCGAATGTGGTAATTTACTGGGTTGGCGGGAATTTTAAAATAATTTGTTTTGATAATGTACTTTAATCACTATATGGACGCTTCTTTTATGCAAGCATTGTAAATAATGAGGGAATCGACTGGCCTATAGATGACCACTCTTATTATCTAAATGCTCCTTGGTCATTCACTGGATATTTAGCCTAGTCAATGACTTTTTGCTGTTTATGTATTAAAATATTATTTGTTCAATAAAGCAATTGTGTAACATTTATTTTCAGATGACAGAAGCACCCAAAACAGCATATACAAGATTTAAGTATTCCATTGAAGATCTAAAAGCTGCAGTGACATAAGTCCAAGAAGGAAGAATTAGTGCTACTAAAGCCAGTAAACAATTTGAAATTCCAAAAGGCACTTTCTATAATAAACTGCATGGAAAATCCAATGTTTCAGTAAGAAAGATGGGCCCACCGAGAATCTTACTGCTCAGGAAGAAATGTTGGAGAATTGGATAATCCAAAAAGCAAAAATTGGGTTTCCTATGCATCCAGATGAAGTGAAAGATGCCGCACAAAAGGTAATGGAAGAAACCCAGCGTCCTAATCCATTCAACAACAATCGTCCCGGTGATAAATGGCTAAAAGTATTTTTAAAAGTAAAACCAGATATTGGGAAAAGAAATGCTGACATTATTTCCAAAGCTAGAGCTAGGCGTCACTGAGCAAGATATCAGAAAGTGGTTTCAGGATCTTAAAAGTTATTTAATAGAAGAAGATGCTGTTGATGTTCTTGAAGATGCTGATCGGGTCTATAATGCTGATGAGACTGGGGTGTAATTATGCCCCAAAACAGGAAAGGTGCTATTGCCAAAACATTTTAGAACTTTTTATGATGTTGCTATCGGAAAAGAAAAAGAGTGCCTGACTGTATTAGCAAATTTTTCTGCCAGTGGAAAAGTAGCTCCAACACTTATAATATATCCATACAAAAGAATACCTAGAGACATTGCTCACTCTATCCCTGCTAATTTTTCTATTGGTCGAAGTGATACAGGTTGGATGGTTGATCCTACATTTTTTGAGTATGTAGCGAATAATTTTTATCCATGGCTGTTAGATAATAATATAAAATTGCCTGTTCTCTTTCTGCTAGATGGACATAAGTCACATATCAGTCCTGAACTAGCCACTTTTTGTTGAGAAAAAAGAATTATTTTATATTGTCTATTACCAAATGCTACACACACATTACAGCCATGTGATGTTGGTATCTTTAGACCTCTAAAAGTATCCTGGAGGAAGTAGTGTCAGAAATATAAACAAGAAACAAGAAAATCTCTAACCAAAGTATCTTTTGCACCTATTTTTGTACAAGCATTTAAAAATGCCAGTAAAATTGAAACCATACAAAACGCCTTCAGGGCATGTGGCATATTTCCTGCATTAAATGGAAATAATGTTGATTTTTCAAAATGTATGAATACTCGTCCGGCAGCACTAAAAGAAGATAACAATAATGTAGAGAGTAATCAGAGTGGAATTGATAAAACGAAATTTTTAAAAATTCTTGAAAGTGAAATTTCCTCAGAGACCTTAAAAACATACAGAGAAGGAAGAAAAGCAAAAAAAGTTTTAAATAATGGTAAATTATTTAAATTATGGAAAAAATAATGAAAATCAAGACAACCCCAATGAAGAAAATGGCAATTATATTGCATTAGAAGACGAAAGAGAAAATATGAAAAATAATGTTCTAGTAATGATGGACAGAGAAACTGATGATTATTAAAAATGTAGATTATATAAATAAAGAAAATCAAGAAAGTGCTCCGGAGATTACCCAAAAAATAATGAAAATGTATGTGAACAAATTGAGGAAGAAATAAAAGCATCTAAATTGAAAATCAAAATGAGGAAAAAGAAACACAATTGGATTTAAATTTTGGCTCATTAAAATCTCTTAAAGTCGAAGATTCCTGGAAGGAACACTTACACTTTCCAAATTTGGAAATTGCCACTAAAAAAAGTGTTAAAGAAAAAGTCCCTTTGGCAATAACTTCCAAATAGTGGAAAGAATATCATGAGAAGAAAGAAGAACAAAAAAGAATTGCTGAAGAAATAAAAGAGCAAAGAAAAAAGTTAGACAGGAAAAAAAACGTAGACGTGAAGAATTAATTAAACAAAAATAAAGAAAATAAACCAAAAAAGTTAAAGAGAAGAGAATCTTCTTCAAGTTCAAGTGATTCGAATATTTCAGATGAAGAATCTTTTGAGGAAAATGAACAAGAAAACCAGGATGAAAATGAAATCAATGAATCTATGCCACCAATACATTTACCATTGCTGATTTCGTAATTGTCAAATATGAGAACAGTTATTTTCCCGGTGTTGTTATACGAAAACAAAAAGGAGAATATGAAGTGCGAGTCATGTGTAAAAGTGCACAAAATTGGAAATGGCCAGAAAAAAATGACCAAATATGGTATAAGGAAGAGGATGTTGCCATTAAAAAGATTGAAATGTGTATTCAGTTCCTGAAATGGAAAAGTATGAAACACTGCTTTAATTTTTTTTAAACCAAGTATTTATATTTTCTTTTAGACAATAAAATTTTGTAATCATTTACTGGTATTTTATTTGGTCAATTACTCAAAGGAACTGGTCATTTACTAGGATTTTATGCATTATATTCTTATTGAATATTTTAAACAAATAAACATATTTACATTTTTATGTTAAAAAAGTTAAATTAGTGAACAAATTCATCCAGCTATTCCTTGCTTTTTCTTTTAAAAACAAAACGAACATTTTTACAAATATGTATATATCACTGTTGCCTAAAATGGTCATTAACTGGACGGTTTTTTATATCCAACAGCCAAAAAAAAAAAAAAAAAACTGGACGGTTCACTCTATATGGGACAATATTTAATAGAATACGATTAAAATCTAAAAAAATTAATGCCAGGAAAAAATATATATAAAAAAAAATGAATATTTTCAGGATAATGTATTATAGTAGAATATAGCAGAATGTAGCAGAATGTAACAGAATATAGCAGCATTTAGCAGAATAAAGCAGAATATAGCAAAATGTAGCGGAATATAGCACGATATAGCAGAATATAGGATAATATAGAAGAATACAGCAGAATATAGCAAAGTATAACAAAATATAGCAAAATATAACAAACTATAGCGAAATATAGCAAAATATAGCAAAATATAACAAAATATAGCAAAATATAACAAAATATAGCAAAATATAGCAAAATATAGGAAAATATAGGAAAATATAGGAAAATATAGGAAAATATAGCAAAATATAACAAACTATAACAAAATATAGTAAAATATAGCAAAATAAAGCAAAATATAACAAAATATAGCAAAATATAGCAAAATATAGCAAAATATAGTAAAATATAGCAAAATATAACAAAATATAACAAAATATAACAAACCATAGCAAAATATAGCAAAATATAACAAAATATAGCAAAATATAGCAAAATATAGCAAAATATAGCAAAATATAGCAAAATATAACAAAATATAGCAAAATATAGCAAAATATAACAAAATATATCAAAATAGTAAAATATAGCAAACTATAGCAAAATATGGCAAATTATAATAAAATATAACAAAATCTAGCAGAATATAGCGAAAATGGTCTCTAATATAATATGCATGATCCATTTTACTTTGTTTTATTTTTTTAAATACCATACTTCAAATAGTCCAATCATTATAGTAAGTTCACCTCGGAATTCGAGATACCCAGCTGTAAGTCTGTAAATACTTGTATATTGACACCCTAAAAATTGTCTCAAAACCTACATATGGTAGGGTGTACGCATCTATTAAATTTCAAGGTCAAAGGTCACAAAAATCGTTTGTAGAATACAAAATTCTCTAAAAATTTTGTTTAAAAAAATTTTTCATACGGTGAACCGTTTTCGAGATAGATGACGGAGAGCGCGCGGTCACAGCATCACTTCAGGTCAACCGGTGCCTCCGGTCGAAAACGCGCCATATATAGTTGATGAAATATCGATAAATCAATGATTATAAATATTTGTCAATTTTTATTAAGTATTATATTATATTTTATCATTTTTTTTCCTAACCTATCCACTTTTTATTTAGTATTAATTTATTTAACAACACTTACCTGCCCATGTAATTGCAAAATTGTTAATGAAAATATAGGAATTATATTTGAATTTTAACCTAATTAATATTAATAAATTCTTACATGATGAAAAAAAAAAACTAAATTATGAATTAATCTTTTTATTAAAAAATTTCATTTAATACATTTATTTTTATTAAAAGTAAAAAAATGGAATAAAAGGTACAAAAACTACAATTTATAATTTTAATAATCTTCTTCCTCTTCATCGTCGTCTTCCGGCTGCTGGTAAATTTCAAACTGGTCTTCATTATCGTCTTCAACGACATTTCTCTCAAGTTCTTCCATGATTTCGGGGTCAAAGGTTCCATCTTCGTTAATGTCGCTCTGATATGGTAGAGCATTGAGACAAGCTTGCCCATTACATTGGCCACAAGCTAAAGAGCATTGCAAGCCCGCTTTCCTGCATCCGCATCGCGAACCACAACCACTCTTGCAGTTGCAGAAAATTGTATTTAGCAAATCTTCTGGAGCAGGTGGTAAAATTGTCATGATAGGCTCCAGAAAATCGTTTCGCATTGCCCAACTCCATACCTGGGGTTCCAAATCATGCCTTAACCAAGTTTGAACTTAATAATATACACGTTTGAAAGGTTGATGAGCAGCTGCTTTTGTTGGTGGAATATTTGAAAGCTGCACAGGTTAATTAGGTTTTGTAGACTTGACGTAATGCATATAACGAAGATGATCGAGACTTTTCACAGATTTCGGAGCATTATAGACTGCCAATAAGATTTGAGTTCCACTCTCTAATAATCTCTGGGCCGAACAATTTTCTTTCTCAAATGCTGCAGCTAGTTCATTCAAATTTGTCAGTTTCTCAAAAACTTTAAAAAATGATTTTTTCCCTTTTTAAAAAGCGCAGAAGTTGTGTCACAGCACCAATGCGTGCAGAAATAAAATATGTGTTCTGGAATGAGGATAATTATCAAAACTTTTAGTATATCCCCGTTTTTACATTTCCTGTCCCAACTTTTTTAAAGAAAATGTCTTGTTCGTAAGACAGTGTACGCCCAATTAAAATGACAAGTAAATCAATATCTTGTCCTATTATAACTGCAGTTTTTTCAGAATTTGATTCTTCAATTGCAGTTTCAACAATAAGAACATCAGCATTATCTCTGGCTTGTTTAGTAGTAATATTTGCAGCTTGTAATTTTTCAATTAACTTATTAATGAGCATATCTTTGTTATTTCGATTTGATAAGAATTTTTCTTGAGTAACTGGTACAACTATTGTTTCATCTTCTCTGCTGCTCCATAGCTTTTACGTTCTTACTGTAATCTGAATTTTTTTAAACAAAATTTGTAGAGAATTTTGTATTCTACAATATTAATAATAAATACAAATAGCAAAAAACCCATAAAAAATGAGATATTTACAAAAAAGCGCAAAAAACCGATTTTTGTGACATTTGACCTTGAAATTTAATAGTTGCGTACACCCTACCATATGTAGGTTTTGAGATAACTTTTAGCGTGTCAATATACAAGTATTTACAGACTTACAGCTGGGTATCTCCAGTTCCGAGATTCTTACCTAATTTAAGCTTAAATGACTGGATTAAAATACTAATGCAAATAACTATCAAAAAACTGCTGTTTGCTTTTATTGTGGTCGTCAGATGTGTTTATGGTTCTCTTATAAACTTTTTTTTTCATTTTAGTACTGTATTTTACTATTATAACATGCAAAATAGTTTAAAGATTCGCATACTGTAGAAAATTAAATCGCCATGTATAGAGCTTGGAAACATGTTTAACGTATTAATTAACTTTTCTTGCATTCTGGTTATTGCTGAAAACAATTTCGCTTTATATTAGACACATTTTCAAACGGGAAGGGAATTTCCGAATATAGAGATTATTGGAATTCAGTGCTCAATATCTGGGAAATTAGGCCATATGATGAGATTGTATCATAGGAACCTTTTATAGAGAAGTTTCTTATTATGATAAATTATGATAAGATAAATATAGAAGTTCTTATTGATGGCATTACAATACTTTTCTAATGACGTTTGGTAAACTTTATTTACTTATGCAACCCATAAAAAACCACCCCAGCTTTTTTTCAAATTGCACCTCCTTTATGTTTTCATGGAAAATTAATAGCCTAGTCAGTTTCAATATCGCAGATCTAGACTTATAATAGACTTAAAATATACTTAGATGTATTAGACTTAAAATATTTGTGATAGACTTAAAATGACATATACTTACAATAGACATATATAAATATAATGAACTTATATTAGACATAATATATCTATAATAGACAAAAAATACACAATAGACATAATTTACTTTTAATATATTTAAAATAGACGTATAAAAGACATATTATACTTTTAATAGACTTATAATAGACATAATAGTCTTATAATAGACTTATAAAAGACATAATAGACATAATAGTTTTAATATATTTTTTATAGATATAATAGATTAATAATAGATTTATTATAAAAATATAATAGACTTATAATAGACTAGACTTATATATACTTATAGTACACTTATGATAGGCATAATAGACTCAAAATAAACATAATAAACTTGAATAAACTTATAATAGACTAGACTTATAAATATAATGTGTCTATTATAAGTATATTGTATCTATTATGTCTATTATGAGTCTATTATAATAGATTTATAATAGACATAATAGACTAGACTTGTAATAGACTTATAATAGAGTAATATCAGACATAATATACTTATTATAGCGTTACAATAGACATAAGAGACTTATAGTAGTCATAATAGACATAATAGATCTGCGTCACAATAATATGGGAAACTACTCCTTTGGCTCACCAGGTATTAAATTAGGTCAAAAGAAAAATGCAGAGAGAAAAGATTTTCAACGCTTATAATAGATATAATAGTGTTATAAAAGACTTACAAAAGACATAATAGACTCATAAAAGACCTAATAGATTTAATATAGACTTATTATAGACGGTTATAGACTAAGGGTGAGATTACAGAACATCTGCAACTTTGCAGATCTGCAAATATGGCGGACTTACATATGCATGTATCAAGTTTTCGTATTCCAAAAAAGATCTGCAAATTCGCCATATTTATTGTGGTTTATTACCCTCAACAACACTAAACCCAAATCCATTACTATGTTTAAAAACTCGATAATCTGACACCATGAACTGTATTCAATCAAAAGAAACAGAAGACTTCATGGTTGTAGGATGTTCTAACCTTCTTAAAGGGTGATTTTGGATTTAGTGGTGTTAGGGGTAATAAATATTGCGACTTTGCAGCTATTTTTTAGATACTTGCATCTGTAAGTCCGCCATATTTGCAGATCTGCAAAGTTGGCGCCATATTTGCAGATCTGCAAAGTTGCAGACGTTCTGTAATCTCACCCTAATTATACTTATTATAGACATAATGGCTTAATAATATACAAAAATATAATGGACTTATAATATACCTAATAGACTTATAATAGACTATAGATTTTTAGTTTAATTTAAAAAACTTTTTCCCAATATTCATTCTAACAGTCTGTAAGTAATAGGTACATAACTGTTTTTACTACTGCAAAAATAAGTCTCCAAAATGTCATTCCCACCCGAGTTATTGAGTTAGTTGGATCAACTTAGCAAAATCGAATGTCTTTTAGAATAACACCCGGCAAAATTATCCAACTCCTGGAGGCCCTAACGATGATAATATGTCTGTAGTTTCGTCAATACAGTCCTTTACGCCCAATATAAAATCCACACCCATCATTCCTGGATACGCTCATAGAATACCGCAACACGACGGGAATATTAGGGGAGTTCCTATTCCGTACAACCAACCGGTAAGTTTCAATTTAAATAAATAATGCATATATACAGGGTGCCGTTGAAATATTTCTCAATGTAAAATCTTCAGGATTACTAGGTAAAAGTAAATTAATCGTCTCTTTTTCAACTTTCAAGCGAGATAGGAAATAATACAGGTCCGGATTAACTGATAATCCGGGGACGATCAATTAGTGTAAACAAATCCATATTTTAAAATTATTTTCGATAAGTTCAGTATGGAACAAAATTATATTTTTCTAAACATATCACCCTGTATTTAATTTAAATTGGAATTATCCTCGATTTTTCGATTATAACAATACCATAACCCGTTTTATATGAAAATCGTAGTGACATTAAAGACCTGTATCAGAGACGAATTTTCGGAGGGGGGGGGGGGGAGAGAGATTGCCTTTAGCCATTCCCTTTTTATCATATTTTTTGAATAAAAGGCTCACATATCGTAAGAATTTTCATCTCGTGGGGCCATGGCCCCCATAGCCCCCTCCTGGAGCTGCCTTTGACCTGTATACTGCAAACGAATCAATTGAAAACAATTTTGTTTGCAGTAATAGTTTTTCAATGTTAATCAAATATTATGCACCCATTTTTAAATTCGCAACAAATGTGTACAGGTTGAATAAGCTCAAATACATTTTTTCTTTTATTATTTTATTTTTTTATTTATGGGACATTTTAAAATTGAAAAGATTATTCATAAAATAATTTATTTTATTTCAAATTTTATCAATTACGATCCCGTACTTGCATTCCTAAAACATTCACATTTTTATGACCAAGACATTTGTTTTATTTTTAGAGACAAAATTCCTTAAATTTTAACTCAGAATTATAATTTTTCACGTAGAATATCAAATCTGATAATTTTTTTTAAATTTGTTAAATATACAGGGTGAAAAATACAATTCAGCCGGTTCTGATATCTGACAATATTGTTATAATTAATACAATTATTATTTTCGGTATCTGTTATTAGAAAAATGTATGTCATATCTACAGGGTTAAGTTAGGAGGTGTTTTGGAAAAGCCTTGCCTTTCTCTTAAGCTGAATCTGTTTAAATTGGGAACAACCTTTATAAGTAAGTTTTATTCCTAAGTATATTATTTGTAACTACTATTTCTCTGTTTTTACCATCTTGGGCGCTATTGTGAAACTTTTTGTCTACTACGAAACTTACTACGCACTCCTATTTCTAACATTAAACTTTTTTACTACTAGAATGTTTGATGTTATATAGCAACAACGTACGTATACCAATATTTATAAGATTGTCATGTAGGTGAACTACAATCTAAGTTTATTTCACAATAAAATTGTTATAGTGTTATAATAAAAAACTATAAAAAATGCTTAATGCCGAAGATGGTTACTAAATCCAAATCAAAGCCATCCTCAAATTAACTAGTCTTTAGTAACCACTCTTCACCAATTTTATTTTAATACTATCCTGTATCCCGTTTTAATCTTTTTTGAAAATTGAAATCAATTTACAAATAACCAAATATGTTTTATTTTTATCTATAAAACACCTTTACAGGGCCTTTAAAAATTTAACGTTAAGCCGTTCTTTATTATTTACCGTTTTTTAATCAAAAACGGTATTTCCCCATTTAACCTTCTTTCCCGTTTGAATCGGACCAACAGCAACGGAGATATGGAATTTAGGTCCTTTTCGCATTTCCATTGCACATGATTTTTCTCTTTAACATTTGCGTAAACAATGGCCGTTATCTTTGATCTCCTAGCCGAGCCGCAAACCACTGATATAAGTTTAAATTCTCAACACTGACGGCATCTAGCCGTGCCTTTTGAAGTAGTGGGCCAGAACCGCTCTTGCTCATCTACTGCTTTCGTTATTTTTTATTTTTATTGATTGTGATTAAAGTTTAGAATTCTTAAAGATAGAACTTTGCATGTTTTTCAATTATTTAAGGTCATGTTTCATTTAATTATGTTTTATTATATTGTGCATTAAATTATTAAAAAATTGGCTTTCAAACAAAGTGTCACACTGTTGTAAGTTTTTTCCTTGTAGACGATGCTAAAATTAAAAATAATGTAAAGAATACTATTACTAAAAATTCTACATAATATTACCTTTTTAATGATGTGTTATACCTGGTACTTCCCCTATTTAAATTGATATCATTAGAATGACGCAATGGTACGGAGATATATACGATAGTTGAGGATATGATAAAATTTCCTAGATAAATCGACCTGTTCAAGCATTTATAAAATCTACGATATTGTAGAACTTATAAGGTTGTGACTGAAGAAACCAATGAATAATTTCAACAGAAAATAAGAAGTTTTTGTTCAGAAATAACTACACCGAAAATATATCCAAAACCTGACCGACTTTTTATAAAAACTCAAAACTGCAAGCCCCGAGTACGTGGATGATCCACGTAAATTACTACAATTAATATCTGGTTATTCTTTACATACGTAAAAACAAACATGGGTCAGCTGAACTATTTATCATTTCTTCATTTCTGATGAAATCTACAAACCGTTTGTTCCAACATCGTGGAGACTGTTTTAAGCCATACAGGCTACGTTTCATTTTACACACTCTTCCTTTATGATTATCAAATCCCTCTGGCTGCTTCATATAAATTTCCTCCAGCAGTTACAAAAACGCTGTCTTCACGGCAAATTGTAACAGTTTTAGACGTTCAGATTCAGCTACACTAAGCACTGTTCTGACTATATCATATTTTGCCACAGGACTAAAGGTTTTATCATAAACTATTCTAAATTTCTGGCTATATCTTTTTGCTACCAATCTAGCTTTGTAACGGCTAATACTTCCATCTGCGTATTGTTTTATTTTAAATACCCACTTACTTTGAATCAACCTTTTATTTTCTGGCAAAGTTACTAGGTCCCAGGTATCATTTTCAGCCAAAGAATCCATTTCTTCTTTCATGTCTGTTCTCCACTGTTCTTCTTCAGTAGACTGAATTGCTGCAGTATAAGATTTGGGAGCTTCACACTCGACAAAGAGTAAATAGTCATCAATACAAGTTAAAAGTTGATTCTTACTACGAAGGTTGTAATGGTGGTGTTCAATATTGTCCAAATCATGATTCTTGGACTTAGACTCAAACTCATCAGACTCATGTTGTATTGTTACTATATCACCTTCGTTCTCTTTGTCTAGTTCAACATTTTCATTAGTTTTTTCTTGCAAAATGTTCTCCAGTATTCTCTTCTCTACAATACTTTCTTGTGTAAAAATTACATTTCTACTGGTAATTACCTTATTTTCGTCAGGTAACCCAACTCTGTAACCGTCTTTGTCACGATAGTATCCAACAAGAAAAACTATACTTTTCTTGTCAAGCTTTCTTCGACATTGTTTAGGTATATGTACAAAACATCTTGTTTCAAATATTCGCAAGTAATCAATTTTAACAATTTTACCTTGCCACAGCTCAATTGAAGATTTGTTCGTTACTGGTGTTGATCCTATTCTGTTAAGAACATATATGCAGCTGTATTTATACCCTTAGCCCAGAGTTTGATAGGCAACTTCTTGGTATATAACATGGTTCTTACGCATTCTACAAGTGTCCTATTTTCGCGTTCTGCTGCGTCGTTTTGTTGGGGCGAATATGGCATAGTGACTCTAAAATGTATTCCATAAGATTGAAGAACTGCTTTCACCTCTGCGTTATTAAATTCTTTTCCTCCATTACTTAGGAACTCTTTAATTTTTTTATTTGCTGTCTCGGCTTCTTTTAAAAAAAAGTTCAAAGGCAATGTACTACCTCAGTTTTTGTTTTAATGAAAAACACCCTACGAAATTTTGAGAAATCATCTTTGAAAATAACGTAGTACTTAGCTCCATCCAAAGATAGCTCTTGTATGGGCGCGCAAACGTCTGCATAAATCAGATCACCTGCTTTCGTAGGTCGAGACATACGATCTTTGACAGTAATCAATCTTTTCAAAATTTCTTTAATATGCTTTTTATTTTAGTGGAAAAGCCTTTCGTGTCATAACTGAATATTGTCCAAAGACGAAGCTACACATCATTCTGCAGGAACTGAAGAACACAAGCTTTCATGTCTAAAACATATAGTTACTTCAATGTTCGTCTTCCAGATATTCTTGTTAAACCATCTTTCCTAACTGCACATCCATTACAATCTACTTGAAACTGAAAACCTTTACTAATGGTTTGTCCCACAGAAAAAAAGTTTCTACCTACATCTGGTTTTTCTGCCATCCGTTTAAAATTTTCATTTGGACATTGACTGATTCTTGTCCAAATGCCAAAATAACATCGCTATTTCCAACTTGTATGTCTTTTGGTGAAATAAATGGCTCATGTGTATTAAAATAATTTCTATTAGTGCCGATGATCCAGAATCAGCCAACCATTGATCAGATTTAGAAATATTCTCTTTTTTATTTTTCTCTACATCTAATTTAGTAGTTTATTTAAGGATTTACTTGAACAGTTCTTAGCAAAATGACCTACTCCGTGGCATTTATAACATTTTCTGACATATTTTTGCCACTTTTTAATTTCTTTAGTATGATTTGCCGTCTTTTTCATAACCAAAGCAGATGATGACTCTTCTTGTGCAGATTTTTCATGTAACCTCATTTCTATCAGACGCAGACGTTCAGTAAGCTTATTGATATTTCTTTCATCAATTGGGATCGACTCCCAAACGGATTTAAACTCAAAATATTCCGCTGGTAGTGTAGACATAACTCTACTCATTAACAGTAAATCTGGCAGAACAGTCTTAACAAATTTTTTTAATTCGTCATTGAGCTCCCTAAAATTTTTTAGAAGATGAGAAATGTGGGTAACTATATCGACACTAGGGTCTACTTGAAAAGTAAAAAATTGCTCCATTAAACGATCAAGACGTTGTCCCGAACTCTGTTCATATACTGATATAAGTTTTTCCCAAATTGAATTTGCACTATCACATGTTGAAGTAACTGTACATTTGCTTCATTCAT